TGATGATCAGGTGAAGAAACCAGATCGAGGCAGTAGTGATGTTAAGCTGAGCGTACCACATGGAGTATGCACAGATAACCATGGTCACATCTTCATTGCTGACTTTCTTAACCACAGGATAGTGGCACTGAATCCACAAGGAGAATTTGTCAAATTCATTATCAATGAGGATGATGGGTTGAAGTATCCAACAGCATTAGCCATCAACCCTGCTGGTCAGCTGGTGGTGGCAGAGCAGTGGGGCACAGTTAAGACATTCCACTACTTACAATGAAAATGTTTTACTTACGTTTTACAGTTTGTGACACTGATATCTAGATTGATATTGCTATTAGCTACTGGTACAATGGTTGGAGAAATGTAAACAATTGCCATGAATAGTGCACAAAAAGTACAAAAACATACTCAATGATGTAAAATATATACTTTATATCTTCATTTGTGGAAAAGTGTAAAAACAATTTTTAATGGTTGCATAGGTTTTCAAATTAAACTTTTCATGAAATTTCTTAAGTATTTACTTATTCAGTGCATACCGATCAAAATAACGAATAAAATTTTCATGTACCATCGCGTAATATAAATATGCCGTATGCTATATTACATATATGCAATTTGAGATCGATTATTATTTTGTTACAGATGACTCCTTGAAAGTATTTACAATTGACCAAGAATATATTAGCGAGCCATTCTTGAAGAATTCTTGTGCTGGAAAGTAATGCTATTATTCAGAAAAAAAAACAAATACAATGAATCAATTAACATATTTTTTTCTGTATCATTCCGTGAACGTGTGATAATTTTGATAATGAGAGAGGTTAGGTGACGATTTTAATGATGATGATGATGGTATTTTGCCATTGTAGTACGTTAAAATGAAAAAGCAAAAGCATTAAAAGCAAAATTTCATCAACATGATCAAAGCTAACGTTTACAAAAATTTAATGGAGTCGTTATAATACTGGTCTTGTGATGTAGTAATGTTCATGTACAGGCGCGACAAACCGCCTATTAAACAGAACCGAGAATTGATTAATTTTGCTATGTGCCGGTGTAACGTGACAGAGTCCCCCATAACAGAGTGTCTGCTTCCCATTCATTTGTACAGGTGAGCCTCTTCCTAAATTTTGACCCACTTAAGTCAGACTAACCCGAAACATTACAACTATATGGAGGGCGGACATTCTTTTACACGGACCCTCAGTTTCGTTACACCTGTTGTACGAGTTAACCTAGATAAGCCAACGTGACTAAACCTGGTGATTATACTGTCACTGCAGTTTGAAAAATAAAACTTCATCGGATCATATGAAATATGGTGTAATAATTGTTCCCAAAATGGAAACTTAAATAAACAATTATCTTACTCAAAGTTCAGATTGTCGTTAGTTTCTATTTTTTAAAGTCTCGCCATCAGCAACACTTGCAAATTATACATTTATCACAGGATTAAAAATACGATGATGTTTATCTTGAGCTTATCCCCGTGACTGGTTGCTTTTCCTCGTCAAGACTCTGCAGGTTCCGAAACTTGTTGATACAAATCAGCGCCCATGTTGCCGTTACAAACACCCCGAAGCTTGACGCGACGGACAGGAAAGCTGCGCTGTAGCTTCCGGTGACGTCGCGTATATAACCTGTAACGATAGCCATGCGGATACTGTGCACAGGAATGAACTATTTGTGACGGGAACATTGACCACCGAGTATCGAACAAATCACCTTATTAATATGTTTCTTTGTAAATTTAGGTTTTGAATGCATGTTCATTATGAGGATTCGAGAGCATTGGCAGGTCATATAAATAATAGAATTAATTATAAACGGCAATGCATGTTATAGATACTGATTGATCCAACACATCAGTTATTCAGTATTTTTTTTTTTTACTTAAAGTGTATGTGAAACAATTAACAACCAAATATATGAAAACAATAAGTTCTACGGCGTGAGACAGCATTAAGACCTATCCCCTTGAAAAGAAATAGAAAAATAAATGAAAAAGTTTCACATATACAGCAGGATATTTCGTTTCTGTCTTAAACCCTTTTCCCCTACTTATCTTTCTGTCATAAATACTTTATATTACACTATACAATAAAGACAGAATACCATGATATACATTCTTATTATTGGTATACATGCACCGTACGGTCACCTACCAGCTATATATGGTGCTGCAGTGGCTCCAACACCTCTGCTGAAGCGCATCGTCAGGAACAGCGTGGCGACGCTCTCTCCGTCCATGATCTCATTGTGGACGGGGAAGTAGATTGCGAGATACACGCCGCAGCCCACACCTACGACTACACAAGTATTTCACATTTGGCGACACTTTCTAATTCAGTGACCATGAGTACACAACACCATTCAGAATTTGTCAGAAGTGTGCTTTCAAATTTTAAAAATATCACAGCAGATGACTTAATTAAATGGGATAATGCTTTCTCTTACCATTTTATTAACACATTCAGGATTGTTATACCTTGCAATATTCTGTCTGCTGTTACGGAAACATTCTTTTGCCTGCAGCATTTTCTAATCTAAACAAAAATTAACTAGTGCAAATAAGTAAAAATACCTACTAGCGCTATATGTAAATACGGCTGCCAAAGTTGTGGAATATGCAGCAACAATATTGTTAACGACCACCAAGGAGATTGCAATCAGGTTTATCAGCATTAGCTTGCCTTTCACATAATCCCCAACACAGGAGAACACAAGCTGCCCAATCATGCCCATGATCCCCAAAACCATCATCACGTACTCGGCCTCGTCTTCGTTATATCCTAGATCGGTCACGTGTTTTGGCTGAGGGAGAGACATATTTCAAAAAAGAGAATTTTCTTATATGTTTACCTGTTTACCTTTTGCGGTATCTGGCTTAAATAAATACAAAATATGATAACGAATATGTAAGATAATTAGGTGTGCATTGTACATTTGCTATTATGTTCTTCGTTTTGCACTGCGGCACGTGTGTCTATGGTAAATAGACATTGTTTTAACAATACTTGCCTTAAAAGCATTATATACTTACTAATATAACGAAAGGCAGATAGTAAGCATACCCCACACCACAAGCTGCAAGGGCCCATATACCATGAACGACAACTTTAGAACTCGTTGACCATGGCGGTTTCTGGAAGTTTTGTCTAAAAAGAGCAATCGTCTGCTAATTTAAGGTAATCTTTTTCCACCGTCATGAAGTTTCCAGCGAGAAAAAGACAATTTTACCTTCCATAATCATTAAAAACAAATCAATAAACAGGATAACGTTTTGCGTTTCTAATTTTTGGGTAGAGATAAGTTCTAATACTGATGCATCTATGGAGATCTACTATAAAGATGCAATTCTTATAGAAAAGAAAAAGATGTGTTTCTTATAGAAACGGAAAAATAATGAAATCCGTTCGTAACGATTGAAATAGCAATGTAATCAAGGATTTTAATCCTTTTAAAAACTTAATCAAGGTTTATTGAGCAGATCTCAATTATAAAGCTTTGGAGAGGAAATAGAATTATTGGAATTCTCAGTACTGCTATATTCGTTGGCTTAATTTATTCCCAATGAGAATCACATATCTCGAAAACGAAAGTTCGGAACTTAAACGGCAAATGCTGAAATGATATGTACTTATTAGAAGTAGAACTACTCTGGTTTGCGTGTGTCACCGCTGGAGGGCGCCCAAATACCACTAACAGGAGTAGCCCCAGTACTCCAATGGCGGCTGCGTAAACTCGGAACGCCCATCGCCACCCTAGCAACGGGTTTTTACACATCTTCAAACTGATGCTGTTCATAACCGACGCACCTGAAGATGAAACAAACCCATGTTAAGGTAAACGGAGGGGAGGCAAAGAAGTAAGAAAGAAAGGAAGGAAGGAAGGAAGGAAGGAAGGAATGGAGGGATTAAGAAAGGAAGGAAGGACGGAGGGATTGGATGTACTTAAGTACTTAACTCAGTTGTTAACTAGAAAACCAGTCAGAGAGCGCAAACCTCTGCCAAAAATTTTACCTGTTAGAAAGTATAGACAATCGACATAAGTGATTCAATATACGTGCGTGAAGTGTACCATGGGTTAACGAAGAATGCGCTCGCTTGTGAAACGCCAGGTCACAGTTTACAAAAAGGCCTGTGACCTGTACCATTAAAATACTGGTAGATTAATACGTAATTATTACATTTTTTGTAGCTTCGACGCAGCCTAAAATGAATCAGGTTTCCTTGGCCCATTTGTGATCTAGCCAGAAAATTCAGTCAGAATCCGTTCACTACTTTTTGCATGGTGTTGCGAAAAGACAAACTAACTATCCTAACCAATATCTTATCCTCCTAGTCGGAGGTAATAAAAATTTCCATTTACCATTAGTCGAATTATTTGCTTTCACTCTGCATTTTCGGCTGCTCAAGTACGTGTATCATTTGAAATTTCTTTGTTTGGATTGATTGATTGATATATAATATCTCTATTTCACTAACCTAGAAAAATCATAACGGCCATCGCACTAGCTGCAAATACGTGGAACCTGTGCGTCCACGGAAACCAGCGTGCTATCACCAAATACGTGGTAATTAGATACAATCCGCATCCAGTACCAAACATAATGCCAAAGGAAACAGCCACGGGTTGGGGCCCATTCCCAAAGGACGTTAGAACCAGCCCGGTCACCATGAGAGATAGTCCGAGGGCCGCGAACTGTCTTAGGCTGAACTCTCCATATCTGAGCAATGCCGTAAAGACAAGGTTGCTCAGGGCCGTTTTGAAAGCAAAGTACACGGTGAGAGGAGAACCTGGAAATTAAAATACGTGGTGAGGATAAAAAAAACATAAAGCACAGTGCGACTGGTTCGTCTCTTGCGATAGGAACTGACAGACACAACAAAGAAATAATTTCAATCCAGCGAATGACTCCTCTAGATAACATGTATCCTATCTTGAATGCCACAGACAGTATGTATCTTGTTCTGAATTCGTCTAGATGCGTTTGAAACATAGGACAATTTGAATTTAATATATACCCGAAGTAAAAATGGGGACTGATAGTGGAGTACACTGACTCACAATCGTGCAAAAAAACGAATACCAAACGACCACATATAAAATGATGATGTTGGTTGCGATTAAAAAAAATTGGTCTCTAATCTTTATGTTAATCTTGCACGTTCGTCTCTCCCGTTAAAAAAATAGACAAGTGACTGGGCCTTTATATTGGTGGCTATAACAGCATTGTCAGGCCCTTAATGATATACCACCACGTTTTAATGTAGTCCAAAACTCTGCCAAAGTCGTGTCTTAATATTAATGTCTTAATGTGGGGAGTAAACATATTAGACTGTAGCATATAGGCCCTAAAAGACACTGACTGGCTTTAAGCCTTCATACACTGTATAATAATAATAATAATAATAATAATAATAATAATAATAACTTCCCTGTGAAATTAATTTTCCCTAAAGTTCCAATGCTTAATTAGTTGCAATCTATAAACCTATTTCAACTGGTATACAGTACAGTCCCCTGCCCCCCCTCCAAAATAAATAAATAAATGAATAAATAAATAAAATAAAAAAGACAACTACAAAAAAGATTTTACCAAGCTGTGCAAGCGACGATTCCAGGAAGTCCTCGTCCCGCCGAAAACATAATATCATCGTCCCCCATGACGATTCAACTCCCGTGCTCACCATAAATAATATGATAGAAATTGCCAGTATAATCCAACCCCTGTAGATCCCATCTGAGGACGTCATTTTTGTACAGAATAAGCTTTAAGGGTTGCTCGATAATCCCCTTGCAAAATGTGACACTTCTAAATTTCAGAGTACTTGTGAAGACCTGCGTCTCAATGCTCCTGAAATGAACCTCAGAGCGGTGAAAAACTACATGTACAGGTACATCTTCCTATACACCTGTGCGACGCAAGTCCAGCGCGACCGATTCGTTGTCCAGCTTCTCGGACCAACTACTACTGTATATAGCTACGCATATTAGTGTCGCCTCATTGTCTATCATATATGACACCTGGTACGATCTTTATAAACTATCAAACCGCGTGGGAATGACCATATGCACTGCACTTATTGAGCACCCTATAATTTATCTTTTGTTTTAGATCAGCCGGCTCGTCAATAGTAAAATATGATATTTTTAAAAGACCCGATTAAATCTCCAATGTCTATTAAAGAAATATGGCTTGATATCTTGCCTATAATGGCACTGTAGAAATTAAGCACGCCCAAAACTAAAATGTCACTCGTTACCCATGATACAAATAATGTACCGGGTAGGAGCGGGGAGAGGGGGGAGGGGGGGGTGGG